AAAAAAAAAAAAAAAAATTTTTGGAAGACAGAAAGCAGACAGGATCACATTGCTCTTACAGCGTGGAGGGAGCCACAGCCCCAAATGTGCACAAACGGCTGGGACAGAGGTGGAAGCCATTTCCCTGCAGTCACAGGGCACTCGGAGCAGCAGAGAGAGAGCGGAAGGTGGGCAGAGCCAGCACAGCTGATGGGAGGCTACTCATGGGCCAGCTGCCTCCCAGGGTCTGGACCTCCACCCGTTTCCTGTCCCGATAACTATAAAGAAAGTAAAGACACAACTAGGAAGGCGGGAGCCTCTGATTGTGGCTGTTGACCTCCTCGAATAAAACCATCATCATTTTGACCTTGGAATATGTGGCAGGAAGAGGTGCCCCCACCTGCCATGCAGGGTATGGCAAAGTGAAAACTGCCAGTCAGCACAAATGGCCGTCCCTGCCATCCAGGGGAGGTCACGTGCTAGGAGAGAAAACCCATGGCAATTGCACCAATCTAGTTGTTTATTCACAGTCAAAACTGACAGACAAAGATCATCAGACTTTTGAGAGGAAAATCTAACAGCAAGAGAGGGGGAGAAGGAGAGAGAGGGAGGTAGTAAGAGAGAGAGAGAGAGAGGCTAAGATGAACAAAAAGAGCTGAGTTTATTCACAGTCAAAACTGACAGACAAAGATCATCAGACTTTTGAGAGGAAAATCTAACAGCAAGAGAGGGGGAGAGGGAGAGAGAGGGAGGTAGTAAGAGAGAGAGAGAGAGAGGCTAAGATGAACAAAAAGAGCTGACCCCCCAAAAATAGTTAAGATTTGAGGAGATTAAGACAACTTTTTTAAAAGTCTATATTAATATAGAAATATTCAAGAAGATACTGCATCTATAAGACAAGAATCGCATTTTATTTAAAAAATAAAGAGAGGGTAACAGAGAGAGAAGAAGAAGAAATTGGTAAACATTGATTGAATTAAAAACAAACCATAAACCAAAAACCTTTGGTAAAAAGGCTGAAAGAAAAAGTCAAGGGAACCTCCCAGAATCACGCAGAGGTCAGCCCTGCCACTGCTGACTTGGCCGAAACAGTGCCAGCAAAGGCTTAGCATCCGACTTCTTGTTACAAGAATGCTGAACAAAAACCAAACAAAACCCTGTTTATTTAAACCAGTGTTCCTAGCTGATTTATGAATTAAAAATAAAGAATTCCCTGGGTCTCAATTTCTTTCTTTTTTTTTAGTGAAGAGTTTGGACTAGATATTCAGTAAATAAATATTACCTGACCAAATGTCTCTTTCAGATCCTATGTACTATTAGGGGTGGGATGCACAGCCAATCTTTTTTCAGAATGTTAGAAGTTGTAAGACACCATTATTTTTGGAACTTAATCATTCCCACTAAAGCAGTAATTTATTCATTCTCTAGTCAACGACTATTTATTGAGCACCTATTATGTTGTAGCCAGGCGTTATGCTAGGTACTAGGACTGTGGCAGTGAACATTCGTAGTCAGTGGCTTCACAGAGCCTGTGGTGCAGTGAGGGAAACAGACATCATCAAACAAATCACTAAGTGGGTAATGGACTAGCCCTGCGAGGAGCACTACCGCGGAAGTGCCTGCTACCTCCTGAGCACGCATCCGCTCCAGCATACCTCTAATAGGGGTATCAGATCTTGGTGGGTCTTTCCTCCAGGATGGGACAAAAACCTTGATGTAGGTGTGTCCTCTGTCCCTGAACCAGTCCACAGCCAGCTGGATTCCCCGGCAAGAGAAGGCTTCTTTATTTCCATGGCTATAATGGGAAAACAAAGAAATCTGTAGAGATGTTGAAAGGGTTCCTAAGGGTGATCTCCCCCGGGGATATCCTAGATCACAGTCTCATAATCAAGAGGGAGCCAGGCAAATCTGCATTTTAAATATAATTCATTCTGCACACAAACTATTTTCTTTAACTAGAAACTTGTGATACGTATGTGGAGTGTCTTCAGCTCCGAGGGAAGACATTCCAAGGATTAATAGATAAGATCCTCTCTTTAACTGAAGTGAATAAGGATCGGCATGAAATGGAGGAGAGCAGCATTCTGCACCGGAGCGATGGTTGCAAATGTGTTATTGGGTTTCTCAAGTCCAAGCAAGGAGGAGGCCAGTGCCCTACACACTCCACCAAAGACATCAGAGGAGGCAGTGGCATGAGGAGAGAGTGGCATGAGGAAAGGCAGGGCCTTGTTGGCCTTCCTGGAGATTTTCTTCCTTTCTCCTTAGAGGCATGAGAAGCTGTGGAAGGATTTTAAGAAGGGAGGTATATGTGATGTGAGATGATGGGATCTGACATAGGTTTCAAAAACCTCAATCTGGCAGCACAGGGGACAGTAAATTGGAAGGGAGCAGGCAGGTGTAGAGTACCAGTTAAGAAGCTGTCGTAGGCTGGCTGGTTAGCTCAGCTGGTTAGAGCGTGGTCTTATAACACCAAGGTCAAGGGTTCAGATCCCCAGACCAGCCAGTAGCTAAAAAAAAACAGAAGCTGTTCTCCTCATCAAAGCAGAAATTGATGTGACTTGGACTAAGCTGGTGGTGGTGGATAAGGGAGAACAGTAGGTGAACTTAAGAGATATTTAGAAGGTAAAAATCTCCAGAATTTGATGACTGGATATGGGGGTGACGGAGAATTATCAAGGATGTGTCAAGATCTCCTGCTTGTATAAGTGGATGGTGGGCTTTTTGCTGACACAAGGAATTCTGGAAGGGGACAGGGTTTAGAAGGAAAGATCACGAGTTTGGTTTCAGACACGTATTGAGTTGGAAGAGGCTTTGTGACCTCTAAGTGGAAACATGAAGTAAGCAGCAAGGTTTCAGAGGGGAGGTGTGAGTGATAAACATTGTAAGTCATCTCTGTTTAAGCAATAGTTGAAGCCACAGCATGGACAGAATTAACTGATCACCTGGAGAGGAAGTGAGAGGCCCAGGGCTGGACCTGGAGGAACTCTGGGATGCAGCAGCTGGGTACAGGTAGAGGACAGTCTTACAAAAGACACAGGAAGGATCTATCAGGAACAGCAGGAAAAGCAGAAGGGAGCTGCATCGTGCCAGCCGAGGGAAGGAGACAGCCAAATGCTGCTCCAAGTGATTGGAGAAGCCTGAAGACATCCCTCAGACTCAGTCAGTGGGGGTCACTGGTGTTTTGCCGGAGAGGGACACAAGTGGATAGATGTGAGATACTGGGAAGGCAATTGGACATAGCCATGGATGGGACAGAGCATGGCCTCAAGAACAGGTCACCTTCCCTCACAGCTTCCACCCCAGCCCCCTGCACTTCCTCCAGCCTTTATTCAGGCCACGCACCTTCCTCTACTCCCACCACAGGGCCTTTGCATCAGCCGTTTCCTCTCCCCTGAGCATGGTTGTAAATGTGTTATTGTAAATGTGTTACTGGGTTTCTCAAGTCCAAGCAAGGAGGCCAGTGCCCTACAAACTCCACCAAAGCGGCCCAGTTCACTCCTCCTTCAGACCTCAGCTTCAGCATCACCTCCTAAGGAAAGCATCCCCTGCTCTCCTAGACTCCGTCAGATCCCGATTACAAGCTCTCACGGCACCATGTGGCTCCTTCCTGGCACTGAACAAGGTTCACACCCACCCAGGCGATGCACTGGGTCTCCCTTCTCTCTAGATCATAAGCTCCTCCTGCTCACCACTGAATTCTCAATGCCTGGCATGGTGCCTAACAATTGGTAAGGACTTAGTGACAAATAGTTGACTAAATGAATGACCGAGAAGAAACTCATCTTATAGGAGCTGGAGGAGGAGCAGCCCGGGCAAAGGGCACAGTTGACTGGAGGCAAGACTTGGCGTGTTCTGGGGACCAAAGAGAGAACAGTGTGACTGGAGCACGTGGAGGGAGCAAAGGGGAGGCTGTACAAGGTGGGGCAGAGAGGCGTGGTGGGTTCTCAGGGAGCCAAGGTCAGCAGGACACTCACGCCCTCTCCTGGGCAGCCAGCCCAGGTCCAGGCCAGGGTGACACTCTACATTTTCATTACTGTGTTTTCTTTTGTGTGTGACCTTTGCTCCTATTTCCTCAGGGGGGATTAGGATAGTCACAGGTTTATAAAGTGGGCAGCCAGCCCAGGTCCAGGCCAGGGTGACACTCTACATTTTCATTACTGTGTTTTCTCTTGTGTGTGACCTTTGCTCCTATTTCCTCAGGGGGGATTAGGATAGTCACAGGTTTATAAAGAGAAAAAGGAAGTCTTTAGAAATGCTAATCAATAGGATTGGAAGTCAGGCCTTGTGGAGAACCAAGAAAACTTTTCAAATATTTTTTTAGCTCCAATCACGTAGGAGGAACTAGGCCTTGCTGCCTGGATCTGGGGCTTCGTCCAGATCGGAGGACACATCCCTTTGGTCTTCGAGGTTTAGCTGTGAAGCTCGTACCAACAGGAAGGAGAAAGCACCAGCAGGGATGTCTGTGGTGCAGGGAAGCGGCAGTGGACACTAGTTCCTTCTAGCCCAGCGGAAGTGGGACAAAGAAAGGGTCTGCAGGAGGGTGAGGAGGTGCCTCAGCAGGTCCTCACCCCTGCACACGCACACACCCCACCGCTCTATGAGCTGAGCCCTGAGGGGGGAGGGGATGTAGAAACATCAAGACCAGTGTGGACAGGAGGCCAAAGCCTTGTTTTTCAGCACAGCCTGGGTAGGTCACAAGTCCCTCCAAGAAATCCTGGTCTCTGTAGGGCTGACTAGAAGAACAGTGACTGAGAGATAAGCCTGAAGCAACCCCAGGGTCCCCTGCCTGCCCCCAGGCCTGAGGGACTATCTGAGGCCTGAGGATGGACAGACAGGCACCCATGGGTGGAGATTGCTTTAAGCCAACTGAGACGAATGACACCTCCATGTTCACGATTCCAGAGGCCAGGCTGGTGGAGCCACTCTGCAGCAGAGCCCGGTGAGGGTCCAAGACCCCCTTTCCCAGCCAGTACCAGGTTGCCATTTGGGAAAGGAAACACAAAGCCTGAGTTGTCCAGAAGACAGAAGACCCTGGGGTACCACTGGATGTCACCAGCAAGCATAAGGCTTGCCCCTTCCCCTCCCTAGAAAGGTGGGCAAGAGTTTCTATCTACCATAGAAAATGAGGTGCATTTTCTGTGTCCACCGAAGAAGTAATGTGAACTATAGACAACCTCCTTTCCCTCCCCTTCACCCCCAAACACATGCACCCTTGAATGCGGCAAAGTCTATCCTCCTTCAGTTCTCAAGTAAAAATACCACTACCAAAACTATGTTAAAATTTGTTTCTGGAACTTTACATATCTGTTTTAACCATTCGAAAGCCAGCTTTCCATCCTGACACCTCTGGCGGGAGTGTGGTTGGGACTGTTCAGTGATGGGGAGAGGGAGGGAGACCGAACCCTGGCAGAGCTCTAGTCAGACAGTAAGGCAGCCACAGCCACCCTGGGGCCACTGCCTGGCACACGGAGGGAAACGCACAGCCACGGGCACCCATGCGTCTGCAGTCCTTCACCCACTCAGCAGCGATGTAGGAACACCCACCACAGCAAGGCTCTGTGCTGGGGGCTAGGAGGAGACCTCACCACTGCTGCTTGGAGCTCATTGCTTTGCACATTTCAGCTCATTTGATCATGTATCAAGCCCTTGAGGAAGTGACCTTTGTCCCCGTTTCACCCTTGAGGAAACTGAAGCAAAGAAATGCTCCCAGCTGTCTGATCCAGTGGCAGCCCTCAAAGCCTGATCTGTTGGGCTGCAAACTCTCCCTCTTTCACCTCCCAAAGACCATTTATTCTTCACCCTCCCCAGTATCCACCAGTGGGGATCTGGAGGGTAGCTCGTCTGGAGCGATATGTTGCCTGTGGTCAACTGCTCACACTTGGGGAGGGAGCCCTCACGTACTTACTAACCGGCACTGTGAACCAGCTTCTCGGGTGGCAACTGAGAGCCAGGCCATGAGAAAAGGAAACAGGAGCTGAGGCTTTTAAATAACAGGAGTGGGGAAAGGGGAAGTGGGTTGGTGCAAAATTTGTCTGCTGACAATTGTGCCTGGGGCAGCTGCAGTTAGGGTGTCTGCATTTACAGTAGCAGAGATCTAATTACACCACCGCCTCCTTTACTATTCCCCAACAAGTCCCTGCAGAAGTTAGGGCTCGTAGAACAGCCCCGTGGCAAGCAAGATTGTGGTATGGGATGGGAGGAAAGAAAGAGATGAGCAATGATTCCTCAGAGGTCTGAGATGTAAAGGACACTGCCATTCAACTCTGTTCCTTATTTGGGGTTAAATTGCAAACACTCAGAACCTTCTCACCAGGAGATCTCTCCCCAGCCCAAGTCAGGGAGAAGAGAGGCATGAGCAGGGCTGCTCTTACAAGATGAGAAATGGGTGCAGACTTAGGTAGGGACCCCAGGCTAAAGTCAGTCATAGCAGACTCAGGGCTCAGTAGCAAACCCCCCACCCATCTCTTTCAAGCCCACTCGTAACCCACTGAGGGGGACATGATGGAAATTCAGAGGCACAGCTCCAAGCCTTCGTTGAGTGATTTCTCACTCCAGAACAAGCCAGAGTCTGCTGAGTTTTCTAAGAGTTTAAAAATGTAAACAACAACCAAAACAAAAAGCCCTGAAAACTCCAAAATGAGGACACATTCAAATGAAACCCTCCTCTGGGGCAGTAAGAGGGTGTAAAATTAACAGGTGGTTTCCTGGCAAGATTAAGTACTTCAAATTTAGGTTTTCTAGATTTGCCTACCCAATGTAAAACAGGTTGGACACTTGGGAGTTTGCCTGCCCCAG